CTTACTTGCTGGAGGACGACCAGCTTTCAATTCAGTCGAATCTCCTGATGATGCTTGATCCGACATTTTAAAATTTTAGTTAATTCAAATAAAAAAAGAAAAAGACTTGAGTTGAACAATCTAAAAAATAATGAATAATAAGAAATACTTGTGGTTTTTCTTTTCTTTGTCGAATTTTTCTTTTTTTTGTATTTAATAATTAATAAAATGACAACCTTGCCTATTTCCTCCATTCACTCGACATTTCTATTTAGATGAGTCTTATTGGTACATACAACTAACCAATACTATCATTTTCATATGTTTCGAAAAATGGTCAGGTATACATACCGAGCAAAATTAAAATGTACAGAACACCTGCTAACACTGTATTTTCAGGATAGTTAAATTAATTTTTTAAAGAAAAAAATAATGAATCTAATTTACTCAATTTTTTTAGAATATGTTACTTCTATCGTTCAGTTTCTATTTGAATATATAATGAGAAAAATGAAAATCAATTTTTTACAACCGATAGATGATGAATTTTTTCTTCCTTTCTTTTTTTCAACGCATTATTTATAAGAGAAAAATGTACACATACATTTTGACGATATAAACAAAGTGTATAAATAACATTTTATTTTCGATTTCTATTAGAAATACTGCTAAAATGTTCGAATTTATTCTTATATTTCATTGATGAGACATCGATAAATTCATTTATGTTTATTTTTATACTAATGATATTCAATTAAAGGTATATATAAGATCTAATCTATGGCACAGAAGTCTTGAGATAAAATATTCATTCATTGTCGGTCACGTAAAGACAACTGGTTAAAGACAAGAATTTTCTAAGTGGAGGAGTACATGTCAACAGGAAAATAATTTTTTGCTTCACGAGAAGATTGTTAAAGTCAGGAGCAGTTAGTTAGACTTAAACTTTTTCGCAATTTTCGAAGGTGTATTCATAATTTTCTTCTGAGGTAAGATTGAATAACTATCATTAGCTTGTTTTAGATAGTGATTTATTAAAAAGTGTCGGAAAAACGATTCCTTTTATCACAAGAAAAAAGCAACAGTATGATTTTTTTTCACAGCAATTGCTTGAAAAATCGATCGAGAAATTTCAACTAGCATATCTATGACTCCTGAATAATAAAATCTAAAAATCTGAGTCTTGCATAGTTTTGTAAATCTTCCAGTGGCAGTTCGGATGCACATCTGATTATTGAAAATCCTAAGAAAAACCTGTCATATACAATTCGATGCATCGTCATCTTCTCTTTCTAAAAATGAAAACAGCAGCTCTCCCTCTCTCTTGTTTCTATCAAAAGTTATTTAAAAACAAAAAATCATAGTTGAGATTTCGCTTATTGTAATATTTCATTTTGTACAGCATTCAATGTTCTACAATAATGTTGAGTTGAAGCTATTCTAAGATACAATTTTGAACTTTTTTACAAAATTTACTGATAGATAATCAATCTTAATTCAGAAGGAAAATCTAAACAGACATTCGGTAAGAACGAAAAAAAAAAATGAGACTATTTCAATGATTGTAATACATTTTGAAGTGAAATTTCTATCTCGTTCTTTTTCTGATCGAAAGTAATATTTTTCTTGTAAGAAATAATTTGAAAATTTCATATTATAATTCTGAGGTACAATAGAAAATTTTCTTCGAATTCTATTAAACAAATTATATAATGATATTCTCTCATTTATATCAATAATAATTCTAATAATAGTTAGCTTATTCCTACTTTTGAGTACATTCATTCTCATTGATATTAAATAAATAAACTTTTCGTTTGATATTCTTTCCAAAACAGATTAATTGGGTTTTTTTTTTATCTACAACGAAAATCATTTTCATAATTGAATGAATAGAAAAAAAACCGATAGGATTCTATTTGCTCAACTAATTACTAGTCTAATACAAGGCAACTAGTAAAACTTAACTGAAAACATTGAAGTTTATTGTCGAAATTGGTGTGATAATCCTGCTGATATAGGACATTCTTGTGATAGATTCTGAGTATTTATCGAAAAATTTGTTCAAGAGATGAACACATTCTTAAATATATTATAATCAATAATAAGACAAATTATTATATTCAAAAAACTAAAACATTTCATACAATTTTTGGATATATTGTACGGACGTCATTTTGTGAATATAATTCATAGATACATATATATATATATACTATAGAAATAAAAGGTAAAATGGATCGAATATTAATACACAATCAAGAGTACATTATATGGTCGAATTAGTCATATAAAATCTATTGATTTTATATGAAACCAGGCTAAGCAGAGGGCGCTAAGCCCACGCCTAGCCCAAAATCCGGGTTCCGTCACTGGTAGAAATATTGTATAGATTGAATGAAACAAAGCAAGATGTTTAGATAATTTCTAGTTGTATCCAATTCATAAAAAAGTTTTATTATCAAGAAGCTTTGCTCTATAATTAAATTCTAACAGTTTGTTTCACATAATACAATAACTACTAGAATGTTTATCGTATGATTATTTTGACTTACACATTATTTGTAAGAAAAATAAACAAAAGAAAAATAATTAAGAGCGACAGAAATAATACGATATTTTCAAATTCAAGGTACCAACATAAGAAGAAATATTGTAGAGTAAAAATCATTCCATTTCTTTTTTTTTTGGGTTCACAATATATCATCGTTTGTTTATCTAGACGGAAATAGCATAATTAGTTTAAGAAAAAAAGATGATATTAAATAGATAGGGCAAATTTAAATAAGTCCAGATAAATTATGAACGCTCGACGGTTATATTATTTAATTTTTACAAAGAGATTCCAAAATTAGAAGTGTAAAACCATTTCATCTAGACGTAGTATGAAATTTCAAAAAACAATTTTATCTATTTTTTCTGATAGTAACGAAAAACTAATAATCATGGATGGGAAAAAATAATGCGCCTTCATTCTCATGGTCGCTAGTCGTTAGTTACAGTGTCAATGTTCATTCTAATCAAGGATCCTATTACGTCAAAATGTCAATTTCTTTAGGCATGAAATTGCACAAGAGTTTGAACAATTGAAGCGTAAGTCTGGTATGAATGTCATTCAGCTCTACTTCGTCTTTTTTTTGTATATATATTCATATAAATGTACTGCACGACACATTCTCATACTTAAATATTCGTTTCAAAGAATAAATAAAGTAACACGATTTACTATGAGATTATCACAAAGAAAATGACGGTAAGTATTGATTTACTAATGTTAAAAAATATCTTCATCAATTGACATTTGATATAATGTGCGTTTTTTTTTAATCTCATACCAATATTCAATTATGACGAAATGAATGGCCTTTTTATTTTGTCTGTTCGTTTTACTGAATATGTTTTGAGGAAACAAAAAATGTCTATAAGGTAAAAAATAAAGGTTATTCAATTTCATTTGCATAGACTGATTTTTCATATTCTCTGATTATTGCTTTATGAGTAATAGATTAACAATAAAAAAAAAAAGAGTCGTTTTATCAGTAGGAGAAGTCATAATCATTTGATAATGGAAAAGAAGTTCGTAAAACAAGATGACGAAATATGATTAAACTTAATGCAATAATATAACTATTTCAGACGTCAATTTCGACAATCGAAATGATTATCCTAGGGGAATGATGAAGATACTTTTCTTTCTAAATTTTAATATATGACGGAAAGAAGTCAAGCATAGCTTATAACATAAAATGACTCATTGTAACTGTATCCTACACGATACACCTACAAAACGTTTTGCGTTCGCTTCCAATTAAGCATATATGGTAATAGATGATATAAATGTCAAAAAAAATCTTTCTGTCGATTTCAGCTGTGCAGGACCACTCTATTCTATATTACAACGCAGGGTAAGGTAAGGATAAGAAAATTTTCCTTTTGATAGGGTAGAGAGTAGAAAAAAAAAAGTTTATTCTGCTCATCTCTACTGTTCTCAGGTAGTTCAGGAAATGATATTTTTGTCGTTTAAGCCCACCCGCATAGAATAATGTTTCGATGTCTTTGATGAAAGTCTATTTTTGTACTTTGAAACAACATTTTAATGTCATAAACAGTAATTTTAGACAATATGTACTGGTTTAAACGATGAAATACAGTTCCCTGAACTATCTGGATAATATGTTTTCATATTGTAGCACATAATTAATTTTAATATTGTTTCAGATTGCTTCTTTTAATCACGAAATTCATAGGGAAACAAATGGTTGTATACATTCACCTTTTATCCCAATGTTTTATTTATTTTCCATTGTAATCTTAGAAGTATCAAAGTATGAATCATTTCGTTCGGACTTTCTCCAATATGCAATTTTTCTCTTTTTTTTTGGATTATAACCTTCGTTTTTTTTTTCTTCTTGCATTTTAAAAGTTAACGATTGTCGAAGTTAATATATTGATAGATATGTACTGTTCGACAAGGAAGTATTCCTTCATTTTTTCAGTTAAAGTCTTGTTGTTAAGGTTTACAAATAGAGTGACATTTAATTTACCACCAAGGACTTCATTCATCAGTAGTTATAATCTAGGACAGATAACTCGATGACAGTTGACATTTTTCTTCTCTATTAGATATCTTAGTATTTTAATGAAAAACAAAAACATAATTATTAACTTGTTATGTTGATCTATTCTCAGTAAGTTGTCATCGTATAACTGCCATTGAAAGAAATAATTTATCAAAAGTATCCATTAGTAATAAGATTTGATTCAAAATAAATATAGTTTAAAAACATTGTTAACTTCTTCTCCATCGTTAGATTTATATACAACATTCTTATAATTTCATTTACTTCTTACAGAAAAAGACAAAAAAAAAATGGATGAATCAATACAACAATCATACATTTAAAAAAAGAAAAAAGAATTTCATTCTTCAGATCTAATGAATAAATGGACACTTATGAGAATAAATATGACAAGAATAGAAAGAAATAACAACACATATACGATTTATACATTGTAGTTTTTCAAAAATGTCCTCCTTGATATAATCCATCTAACATTGTTAATTGTTGTTGTGATCGGAAATTATTTTGTTGTACATTCCAATCATTTGACATTGTTTGAGAAGATATGATATTTGACATTGAATAATTATAATCATTAAAATTTTGTATCTGTGTATTCATAGTTGTTGTTGTTGTTGAAATTGTATTTAACAACGAAGAATTTGATATACGATTATCTAATGTATTTGATGAAATATGTTTATTATTTATATTTAATGTTTTAATATTTTGTGTTAAATTTAATAAATCATCATCAGATATTGACGATGAAATTGTTTCTTCTCCATCACTATATGTTTGTTGTATTTTACCATCTATATCATGTTTATATAACGGACACCATGTACCATCATCACCAAAGCATATGGCTACCTCACCTGGATCTTTACAAAAAAAAAAAAAAAAAAAAAAAAATTTCTATTATATCTTTCTCGAAATTTTAGATTATACGATGTAAACTTTTTTTCTCCCTAACTTATCTTTAATTTCAATTTGTAAAAAATGTTCGATAATTTTTAAAATCAATATATTTTATTTTATATTCTAAAAGTTATAATCTTTTGTTCTGTAAGATATAAGATATAGTTATGTATACTTCAATTTCTTTAGATTCTATTAAGTGTAAAAGAAAAAAAAAAAAAAAGAGATGCTGCTTTCTATTTTCTTAATATCCGTTACGTGTCAGAGAAAACATAGATGATTAGATTTCTTTAATTTAATAGACATGAAGAAACATGAAGGTAAGTAAGTGTAAGTTATTCGAGTATTTTAACAATATAGGACAAAATTAATATTGAATGTTGAACCATTCATCTCTTATATGATCTCTGAATTAGTTTCCTATTACTATAAGTGTTGTTTTTTTTTCCTGATAAAATAATTGATTATATAGTTTATCGCATTGAAATTCTATTAAAAGATTTGAATATCAAACGCAAAAAAAAAATATATTGTTGATTTTCGAAAAATTTCTATCAGAAATAATGCTCATGGTTGAGAATGTCAAACGAGGATATGAAATAATAAGCTTCGTTAAAGAAGATACATGATATAAATAGAATTATTTAATTAGTCACTAATGATCATAGATATAATTTTAACATTATATATATATTATTCGAAACCAAAAGTTTTTACCAATCCACATAGTGAATATGGCTGGTAGATATTGATGAAGTGGTAGACGAGAACGTTCAGCAATTGATTTAAGAATAGGATCTTTCCAATGTTTTGTTTGTAAACATCTATATGCACTTCCACGATGTGGTGTTGCTAGAAAAAAAGAAAAGTTATATAATAAAAAATAAATCAAAATATAATTTACCAGGAAACCAATGTCCAATAAATCGTTTACATAATATATCATAAAAAGTTCGTTTAAAAATATTGATTTGTTCTTGTGATAATTTAACATGTGCTTTCATTAATCGTAATAGATAACTACATGCAACAGTAAGTTCTTTTTTCGGATTTGTCATTATTAATTAAGACAAACAATAAATAAATCAATCTATAATACTAATAATAATATCGAAATAAATTTATCAAAAAAAAAAAACCACGTCTTCTAGTTGAAACATGAAATATTATATTGATCAATAATCACTATAACATTCCTTTTGCGGTTTTTTTTTTTTTACCTCATATAAATGAAAAGGAATAGGTGAACAGATGTCGATTTGTGTAAATATAAGTAAAAGAACAAGAAAGAAACGAACGACAGAAAATATTTCATTCCTATTTGACCTATAATCATTAAAAAAAACAACTACAATTTGTAACTATTTCTTTAATAAATCTTATTTTAAGAATTATCTAGGATTTAGTATAAGAATAAAGATAATCTAGCTGAGAGAGCGATAGACAGAGACTAAATCATATCAAAATGATTCATTTTGATTTTTTTTTTAATCAGCTGATCATTTAGTTAATTTATTTTATTTGAAGATTGTAAAAATAAAAAATATATTTTTTTATTAAGAAATTTTTCAAAATAAATTAGATTTTAAATAGAAATTTTTCAATTATAAAAAAAAAAAGTATGTCAATAAATAGAGGTCGTTAATATCAGTTAAATTATTGACATACAAAAAAAAAGAAGAAACGAAGGAATAAAAATGTCGGTTATGGCAAGTATTACATAGAATATATTGAAATAAATATAGTTGTTTTATCTTTACATGTAGTTAATGAAATTCTATCGTCTTTATTTTTCTTTCATAATCATTTACAATCTCAAGAGTTGTTTTTTTCTTCTATAGATTTAGATAACGACAAGAGTGTCATTTTTAAGAATAATTTATTGTCATATATTATATTTCCAAAAACTCATGTCGTTTGGTAAAATATTATTTGATCATCCGACAAGCAACGGCTAACTCGGTGCCTAATTTATATATATATATATATATATCCTTATTTTATTCTTATTATTATTGATTATCTTCTATTTTAAATTTCATTAAATTATTCTCTCGCTCTCTATCTCTTTACAATGAACAAATCATCGAAAGAAAATGATTTATCATCTGTTATAACTCAAGTATCAAAAGATGATGATCCTAATCGAACAATACCATTAACGGGTACAGTTATAACAAGTGGAACATCTCCAATAACAAAAAGTATTTTTATAAATAATAGAAAAAATAAAATTCATATAAAATAATTTTTGTTTTTTTTTCTTTGTTTATTCTTAGCTCGTTCAAGTCGAAAATATCGTATTGTATCGATTTTACTCTGTTGTTTAAGTGTATCAAATCGTAGTCGATCAAGAAGTGCAATCTATTCACAAAGAAAAGAAACCTCTACTAATCAAGAAGTAAATATTAAAAAACAAAAAAAAAAACAAATATTTTTTTTTTTTTTGAAACACATTATTCATCTTCTTATAGTTAATTGCATTGAATTCTGATATAAATTTACATTTTGAGGTATACAAACTGAGTTTTCGTTTTTTTTTTACTAACCTCAAAAATAAAAATCACATGATCTTACTAATAATATATTTATTTATTTATTTGAGAAAATAAACTATGTTGTTTTTTTTTTTTAGTCAAATGAAAAATATTTATTACCAACCTTACGTGTTACTGAACGAGTGAAAATATGTTTAGTTATTGATCTTGATGAAACATTGGTACATTCATCATTTAAACCAGTACCAAATGCTGATTTTATTGTTCCCGTTGAAATTGATGGACAAGTTCATCAAGTAGATTATATTTTCTTCTTTTTTTATCTAATATAATAATTAATTAAATTAAAAAAAAAACACGAACAGAAGTATTTTTGATTGAACATATAAAAACAAAGCACATCAAGAGACGTTACATTTCTATCATCTCTAGAGACTATTGTTTCCCTATTTTTTCATTAAACAAATAGAGTCTATGTTTTATCAACAAGATGTAGGATGTTGAAGATAATTAATTATTCATGCCATTTCTTAAGTTGAGATTTGTCATATGCGTGAGTTATATTTATTCATCGAGGTCTCAAAAAAAAAAGAAGATGTTTCTATTAACTTCTCGTATTAATAATAGATCAAAACTAACAAATTAGATTATACAACATCAAAGAAAGAAGTGAAGACAACCAAAAAAAATCTTAGTTTTTTAATAATAGAAATGAAAATTAAATCGTTTTGTTCATGTTAATTAATTTCGTCAATTTAGGTCTATGTAACAAAACGACCACATGTTGATGAATTTTTACGTCGTGTTGGTGAACTCTTTGAATGTGTTCTATTTACTGCTAGTCTTGCAAAAGTAATTGAATAGAATTTATTCTCTTATATATATATATACATATACTATTTTTTTTTTTTTAGTATGCTGATCCTGTAGCTGATTTGCTTGATCCAAATCAAATATTTCATTCAAGACTATTTCGTGAATCTTGCACTTATTATAATGGTAAAACAAAAAAAGAAACATTATTTTCAGGGGTGTCTCAACATCGCCGTGATTGAGAAGGGAGATTGAACATTTGTTTTTTTGCCGCTATATCGGAGTGTTATGGAAAATTGTGTAAATTTATGATGTTGAACATATGTTTCCGTGCAAGCACTCACTGTTAAAGAAGAATAAATTTTCTCAAATCCCAAATAGATAAAAGCAAAAATCATTTTTTGACGATATCAATTGAGTGAAAAAAATACAGAAATCATCAACAAGTACACTTTTAATTTTTCATCTAATATCCATCTGGATATTCAAATTAGGTCATCCCTGCTTGAGACTACGAGAAAAAAGTTATCTCAATCGAAACTAAAGATTATAGTTAAATATTCTATAGTTTTAAGTGAATTTTGTAGATGTAATACAAACAAATTCTGGACTAGTTTGCTCTATAGTGGAACCCAAAAAATTAAAATCATCAGGATCGGAAGCAAAAAAATCTTGTCTCAATTCTGTACATCCCTGATTTGTTTTCTAAAAAAGAATTATAAAATTCTTTATATGTATTTTTGTTATTTCTAGGAAATTATATAAAAGATCTTAGTCGATTAGGTCGCGATATTCGTAAAGTAATCATTATTGATAATTCGCCGGTATCATATATATTTCATCAAGATAATGCAGTATGTGAAAAGAAAAAAAGAAATTTTTGTCTTTGTTTTTTTTTTTTATTAATATATTATTCTTTTATTAAAAGGTTCCTGTAACTAGTTGGTTTGATGATATGCATGATACTGAATTACTAACACTTGTACCAATATTTGAACGTCTTGCATTAGCTGATGATGTTATACCAGCTTTACAAGATATTCATCGTCGTCGAGCAATTGTTTAGAATATTTACGAAAATTTTCTTTTTATTTAAAAGAGTTTTTTTCTTTCTTCCTTTTCTTTTCTTTTCTTTTTTTTTTTTGTTTCTTTAGTTTTTGTTTCATCAGTAATTTGGCTTTGCACTTTCTTTATCTCTATTTGTTTTCACATTTTCATTATACAGTGCCGTTTGTCTTTCTTTACTTTTCGTTTTTGTCTTTATTTTAAAATAACCATCATAGTAAGCAGGTTTATTTTCAATCATACCTTTGTTTTATGTCCTAACATCTTTATTTTTTGTGCATATTGAAAGAAAAAAAAAGAAAAACCACTAATACAAAATTAATCTATGCAATTTAACACCTATATTCTATCTATTGAAATCTTTACAGCATTCCTCTTTTTTTGTTTGATCGTCTGTTTTTATTTTTCATTTAATTTATAACGTCAGTGAAAAATCAATCAGAAAAAAAAGAAAAACAAAAAGAAAAGAATAAGACAATGGCCTGTTATATACATGTGTAAATACTTTATTGTTTGTTGTATAAAAACAAAAAAACCACTTTTGTGTGAGAGTGTATATCGTTTTTTTTTTCTTCTTTTGATTGTTTGTTAAAATTTCAAGAGGAGAACTTCATTCTCTTCGAACAGTCGTAGATAAGAAACACTAATATTCTCCTCACATTGAACGAACAGTGTTGTTTTCAACAGATCCTTTTCTTGTTCTTGTTTTATATTTCATTGCTGGTGCTAATGCATTAAATACATTGTTTCTATTTTTTTGTTGTTAGTTGCTGCACATTTTTATTGTTGTTGTTGTTATTTCTCTCATTCTCCTTTTTTTTTCGTTCATTGCGCATGTGTGTGTGTGTTTCCCCTTTTTGTTTCTTCGTTTTTTTCTTTTTTTTTTTTTCATAAATCTTGTAGCATTCGCCAATCCATTTACTTCCTCATATATCATTGTTGTTCCCAATCTGGAAAAGAAACGGAAATCAGAAAAATATGAATTATATTAAATAGCCTATTGAAATACAAAACAAAGTCGAGATATACTAATATGGTTTGCTTTTTTTAGATGGCATCTAAACCAGTAGATACCAAGACGACACTTCGTCAGTTGATGAAACAAGAAAAACAAAAGAGAATTGATTCACCATTAGCGAAGTAAATTTTACTAAAAAACAAAAAAAAAAAAGACAAAACTAAACAATGAAAACGATCTTAAATCATTTTCAGATATACAAATACAGGTCAATTGTATTGTGCATTATGTAATCAACAATTAACTAGTGAAACATTTTGGAAAGCTCATGTTAATGGACGAGATCATAAACAAGTTCGTTTGATTTTCCAAAAACAAATTTTCTTCTATTATCATTTGTTTCATCCATTATTCAGAAATTAACTGAACTTAAATCAAATATTAAACAATCCAATAGCGAATCAGTTTTTGCTAAACCATTCCCTCCACCTTCAACTACAACTCAACAACGAGGTATTAAACGTTCTCATGATGTAGGTATGTCTATCAAATTAAATCAATTTGTCAAACATACACTAACAATCTTTATTATCTTTTTTTTTCTTTCTAGCCACATCAAGCGATAATGTAATTGTTAGCAAACCATCAAGTACTGTTTCTTCATCAACAACAACAGCTCAACATTCAGCATTACCTGCCGGTATGACTATAATAAAACAAAAAA